TAGTAGGAGAGCGTGTATATAATAAAAGGAGAGTCAGTCTCAGATACTATTGTATCTCCTACACGGTAACTAATAGATACAGGATTTGGAAGATGAAAGAGGTAGAAGAAATTATTGAACAGTGCTAATGTGCAGAACCATACTTGGGATGTTGGTTGCCTGCACATAGTGTAAAGTGCCCAGTGTGAAAATGGTGAGTGAAAAAGAGAGAGAACCCGACGCGTGTTTCGGTGCTTAAAGCATGCACCAGGACACTTACTGGAGTGTCTACCAAGGTGCTGTTTGGATCCCTTGGGTGGTCGGTTCTCCCTTATTTTGGGTTGAACCCCCACCTAAGGTTTCTAATATTTCGTTTCATCTTCTGTGTGACAAGCCTCCCTTCCACTTTGTACTGGTGCACAAAGTAAGTGAGAAGACCCAAGTTTGTGTATGTATGTGTGTATATGTGTGTGTGTGTGTGTGTGTATGTATATATGTGTGTGTGTATGTGTGTGTGTGTGTGTATATATATATATATATATATATATATATATATATATATATATATATATATATATATATATATATATATATATATATATATTACACACACAATGAAAGATGACACTAACCCTGAAAGCACTTCTGCCTGTTAAAGGGACACTATAGTCACCTAAACAACTTTAGCTTAATGGAGCAGTTTTGGTGTATAGGACATGCCTCTGCCGTTTAGGAGTTAAATCCCTTTGTTTATGAACCCTAGTCACACCTCCCTGCATTTGACTTGCACAGCCTTCCATAAACACTTCCTGTAACGAGAGCCCTATTTAGGCTTTCTTTATTGCAAGTTCTGTTTAAGATTTTCTTATCCCCTGCTATGTTAATAGCTTGCTAGACCTGGCAAGAGCCTCCTGTATGTGATTAAAGTTCAATTTAGAGATTGAGATACAATTATTTAAGGTAAATTACATCTGTTTGAAAGTGAAACCAGTTTTTTTTTTTTTTTCATGCAGGCTCTGTCAATCATTACCAGGGGAGGTGTGGCTAGGGCTGCATAAACAGAAACAAAGTGATTTAACTCCTAAATGACAGTGAATTGAACAGAGAAATTGCAGGGGAATGAGCTATATACTAAAACTGCTTTATTTAGCTAAAGTAATTTAGGTGACTATAGTGTTCCTTTAAGCCAAACTATTTTTAGTTATGAAGAAATGGATAGAGGATTACTGATATATCCAACCTTCCCACTATTTCCTAAAGTGAAATTTCATTCAGGTCCAATTCTCAAGCTATATAATTAATATACATGTTTGATAAAGAGAAGCACAGTTGTTCCGTTGGCTCAATGTACAGGTTAGAATCTTGGTTGTGTTTTTGTTTTATTTGTTTTGTTTTGATTTTTAAACTAAATTACTGGTTTAAGGGGGAAAAAAAATAACCTTTCTTTCATATTTGCCTTTTAGGTGATGTTTTCCTTTGCTATGATCCTCAGACTGATTACTGGGGTCATCTAACACCGATGACTGTAACTCGATACCAAGGAATGGCAGCTGTGTATAAAGATTCAATCTACTATGTAGGCGGAATCCACTGTAATCATCGCATGCTTACTGTTGAGGCCTACGATATTGAACAAAATCTGTGGACTCAAAAGAGAGATCTTCCATTTGAACAGTCTTCAAATCCATATGTTAAGCTTTTGATCCTGAAGAATAAGCTTCATTTATTTGTTCGGTTAACCCAAGTGTGTGTGGATGAGTATGTTTTCCGAACCAGCCGGAAGAATTCTCTCTATCTGTACAATGAGGTTGATGACAGTTGGAGAAAAATCTATGAAACGCCAGAGAGGCTGTGGGATCTTGGCCGTCATTTTGAATGTGCCGTTGCTAAACTTTATCCCCAGTGTCTTCAGAAAGTGTTGTAGTTCCGCTCAACTAACTGCCTTATGAAGCTGATGTTGGTTTTTAAAGGGGAAGACTCTAAAAAAAAAAAAAAAAAACAGTCAGTATTTAATTTTGTTTGTTTGGTTTTTTTTTTTTAACCTTTTTTTTTAAAAAAAATTATTTTTTAAATAAGAACAAGATGTATTTTTGAAGGTTGAAGCTTTTGAGGATTGGTGGAAGAATGCAGTCAGTTTAAAATCATCTCAACTGGCTTTCAGTGAATCCCAAGTTTACAAAGTGCAATTATATATATATATTTTTTTTTTTTTTCATTCCACCACCCCATTACATGACACATAATCTAACTTTATTTTTTATTTTTTTTATTGTAGGTATGAGTTTTTAAAGTAAGTTATTGCTTATGGAGAATCCAAGATATCTATGCACCAGAGTGTGTGAATCTAGCATTAACTGGTACCTCCAGGTTTTAAACTGATGTCTGTTTTCTGGCAATTCATGGTACTCCTCTTCTTTCTTCCCCGCCCCCCCCCCCATACCTCCTTAGTATGCTATTAGATGGTAATGGGTTTTTGTGTATATAGGGTTGAATGGAATTAATCCCTGTGACAAAACCAGATAGAAGAAGTAGTTCTTCATGAACAGAATGTACTTGTCCTAGCCAGGAGTTTGTTGCAGAGATATATTTTAAATCTCCACATCAAGGTGACCAGTATCGACCTTAAGTTGTGATGACCTTAATTAAAAAGCAGAACAAAAAATACCTTTTGTACCAAATTATTTTATTTGTTAAGGGGCAGTCTCATCTTGAAACAAAAAACAGACATTTATATTTTTAAATATCTTGTTGAATCCGTTTCCAACATGGTCATCGTGCATTCAGGGTCCAAACATAGGAATAGTTAACATTCTGCTGCACCCAAGGAGTTCTTGCCATGGGGGCACGAACAATCTAAATATTGAAAGGGAAAAAAATATATAGATTTGGTACAGTATCTCTCGAGTAAAGAGCTTGTCTATTGGTAAAATCATAGTATCGCTGGGTCTGGGCCCTAATTCCATGTTTTGTTTTGTTTGTGTTTTTTGTTTTGTGGATGTTGACTTGAAACGGGGGTCTTTTTAAATACATATTTTGTAAACTAATTGCTTAATCAGTTGTATTGCCATCTTCCAAGAAACCTCCTGCAATACAATTTCTGATTATCTTGTGTTTGGATTTATACATTTTTAATTTTTTTTGTTTTTTATTTTTTTTGGTTTTTTTTATTTTTTTTTTTTTGGGGTTTATTTACTCCTCTTTAAGATGTTCTAAGGCAAGGTAACAGCAGTTATTTACCTTTTACATTTGGGTATACAGCCATAAGATGGATTATTTAAAAAAAAAAAAAAATACATTTTGATTCTTTGAAGTGGCTTAAGGACAAGGCTTTACTTTGATTTTATTATAAGAAGCTAGTGTGGGATTTTATTTGTGAACCTGCTTTTTAACTTTATTTCAATGGTGCTAATATTGAAGACTAGAAGACCAAATGTAGTGGGGGGGGGTTGCTTGGTTTGTTTTTTTAATTGAAACCTTGCGTAGGCTAGAAACAGTTGCACAGTTGCAAGTATGGTTTTTGTGTAGGTGGTGGGCTTTTTCTTGTTTGCTTTGGATTGGGGTGGGGTGGGGTGTGTAGGTTTTTTTTTTTGTTTTTTTTTTTCTCCATGCGTAAAGATATAGATTATGTGAGTGGCACTAGTTAGATTTCTGGTAACTGCTGTCAGCACTATTGACTCTGACACCTGCCATCCGTATCTCTTCCGAACATGCCAAACGCACACAAATAGGAGAACATATAGCAGTAATGTGATGCCAATATTTACCTCTACCCTGAAAAACATATTTGAGACATTGTGTATCCTAATTGCTTCCCTCATTCTGCCATGGTTTGATATTATTTTTTTTATTTTATTTATTTATTTTTTTCTTGCCACCTATTTTAACAATAGGTTTCCTATGACCGGGGCCAGGTGTCAACAACTAAAGTCAGATGTTCATGGGTCAGGAGGGCACACTTTTAAATCAGTTAAATTAGAACACTTGTTTTAAATGAAACTTGGAATTGTGTAGGAATTTAAAAAAAAAAAATCAGCACAAAAATGTGACCATTTTATTAACTTTTCATGTTCATTTTCTTGTTATTATTTAAAAAAAAAAAAAAAAAAAAATACATCATATATGCTGTTCTCCATTCCTAAATATCTCTAGCTTTGTGTGAGTGAATTTTGCTGGGTGTTCTATTGGTAGTAAATGAAACTACTGTAAATGGATTCATATTTATGAAACAAAATATATTTGCGGTGGCAATAAAACATTGTATAAGAGTGTTTTTAAAATATTGCGGTACACTTTTAAATGGATGACTCTTAAATCTCCTTCCACAATTTTTTTTATTTTTATTTTTTTGGGGGGATTGGATAAGATATAGTATTGCAATATTGACTACTATTCATGTAGATCTTGTATAATCATCTCAAGATTAACCATAGGCTTTCAGTGGATCCTTTTTGTATGGTGGTGAGATGTGCGTTTTTAATTTTTTATATAATTTTTTTTTTATATATATATATATTAATTCTGTAAAATGAACACTAATATGTGTGAGTGTTTGTGGGGGGGGGGGGGGTTTCCCCCTGCTAACCTGCAATATTTTTTTTTTATTTTTTTTTTGTTATTAACCACTTAATGCTTCTTGCAGTCTAACAAATATGGTGGATTTTTCAATAAATAGTCTTGGTCTTAGTTTTAGTTTTATTCCCAGTTAGGTTGTTCATTCACAATTTCATAAATAGTCGTGTTTTTTTTTATTTTTATTTTTTTGGTTTTTAATTTTACAAAAATAGGGGGGGGGATTCTGATTCAAACCATGTTTTTAAGTTCAAGCTCCTTTTTTAATTATGGGTGGGGGGTTTAAAGTTGGCTGTTTTTTGTATATATCCTTGTTTTGCACAAAGTATACTGTGAATGTGGGGGGGAAATGTAAGCCTTGACAAATCACATACCTCATCAAGTGAATTTGTTTTCAAATCTTGCGTATGCATATCGTGTAACAAATTGAATTGCTGCATATTTAGTGTGATGTAGAATTAGCAAGCCTTTTCTGTGAGTCTCAAGTGGCAATGCTTGTTCTAATTAACTGTTTTACAATCCTCTTTAGTAAATTATATGTAATATCTCGTGTCTATTGGTTGGGGGTTTTTTGTGTAATTTTTAAGGGACAATCCTCTATTGTGGACAGCGCATATCTCCCTAAGCAATCTGCAATAATACTTGAAGTGAGCTATGAGTAATGACAAGAGTCTACAGGCTGACTAGGCGATATTTATATATACCTTCCTCTCTGGATTTGTGTTTTTAAAACTTTGTCTGATTTTAGTCTACCTAGACACTAACAATTGGTGAGTAGAAATTTGCCCAGCTTTCCGACCTGCAGGGATTAAAGTGTACTTCAAGCACATGCTTGAAAGATGCTGGACATGTTAACATTGTCAATGCAGAGAATAAGCAGTTTTAAAATGCTCTGTGTTTTAAACCGGTATATTTGAGGTGTGTGGTCTGTGTTGTGTTTTTTTTTTTTTTTTTGGGGTTGGGTTTTTTTACCTCTCCAATGCTTACAATACTTAAGTTACTAACCTGTAATTCATAAATGAACTTCCAGTCAATATTATGGTGCAAAATGATTACTATTGAGGAAAGTGTATATAATATATCTTGTGTGTTTGGTTTTTATTGTTTTCTTTTTTAAATGTAATATTACCAGGACAATGTGGTGCTAGGATGTATTATTGCACTTGAATTTTGCTTTATTCTAGTTACAATACATTGTGTTTGATAGCAGAACACCATTCTTTGTCCATATCATAATTTATATAAATACTAACTTTTTATTTCCTCCAAATGCCTGTTTCTCCACTCCAGCAACATACACCATTTTAAAGGCATTTAATGCATTGTGTGTACTGTTCAGTGCTCAGGTATTCTAGCAAGTACTGTAGTGCGGTGAAGGCAATGAGTGCTTTCAGTTTTGTTTTTTATATTTGCATTTTGCCATTATTGCACATATTTACATTGTCCTTGATTCTTATGAAATTTTGTATAATAAACTTTGGAAAGTATGAGCTTTTGTGGCTTTCTCACTGAGATGACCAAACCTTTTTTGGATTTTATTTTATATTTGTGTATTCAAGTTCATTGATTCACATAAGCTAAAATGATTAAACCAAGCAGTGTTAATTTTGTCGACTAACAATTTTTGAGATTTAGTTGACAAAAACTAGAGTAAGACTAAAACAATTCAGATAACAAACTTTTTTTTTATTTTTTTCAAAAACACTGACTAAAACAATATTTGCGGCAAATCAAATTTCTGTTTTAACATGGAAACCAAGAACTTGACAGAAAAAAATATTCCTCGATAATAAGGGTTTTTCTGCTCTGAAATATACCTTAGAGAATTGTGGAACAGTGTTGCATCAGGTTAGTGGGCTGTCCGCCAAGAGGCACATCTCTTAAAGGAACACTTTGACTTGTTACCTGGCATCTGCTTCCCACCACTTCTGATGGTCAGAAGGTACAGGGTTCAGCTCACTGACTGCAAGCGTCTAAGCAAGAGTTTCTGATGAACACTCTCAGCCAAAGTCAAAACATTCTAAAAGTGAGTATACTACTTCCAATAGTTTGGGTGCCAGGGCACTTCTGGCATCATAACCACTACAGCAAGATCTTTTAATTTTAACAACTATACCATTGTTGAGGCACACCTGGCAAAACTACCAGTTGGGGATTTTTTTTTTAAATTTTTTTTTTTTTTTTGTACTCTAGAGATGCAGCTGGAGTTTTTATTTTTATTCCTGCTTTATACCACACTGTGGGTGTAACCAGTCACAGGATGTGTATATTCGGATTTCTGTATTTGTTGTCCCGATCTGAATCAGAATGCTTATTGGAGGCTAGTGGTTGGTTTTTCTTCTCCTGACTCTCTTTAGAAAATTTACTTACTGAAATTTTTTTTTTTTTTTTGTGCTTTTAATACTGTGGCAGTACATGGTAGGGATGTGCCTCCCCAAATGGGACAAGCGGTCTGAAAGAAATTAATCAAAATAGCCCTCCTACTCACTGGATAAAAGCTCCCTCAGGAACTTCCACGTCTGTTTAGCGTAAGCAAACACTGGGTCCAATAAAACCGCAAAAATGCAATTTATCAAAATTATGAAGGGAGACTTGTGCTGCCACCATATTAAGGAAAAAATTATTTACAGTAAGTAGAATTCTGGCTTTTCCCTGACCTATGGTGGCATTACAGTATGAATGTAGGAAGATCCCCCGAATAAAACGGTTTGACTTGTTACCTGGCAACCCTTGCTTGTAACACCTTGCACCTGAAAACAGCCTCGTAGGATGAGAAAATGTCTTGCATGTAATGCTTAATGAAGCAAGAAGTAGCCATTGCATTTGTAGAGTGTGCCTTAACCCCTTAAGGACACATGACGTGTGACATGTCACGATTCCCTTTTATTCCAGAAGTTTGGTCCTTTAGGGGTCAAAGGAAATTGGTATTGGAGGATAACTGAAAACACATCAACTTGATAGATTCAATAAGCTTTCTGGTTAGATTTTTTTTTTATATATATATATATATATATATATAATATATATAATATATATATTTTAGGTTTAGCACTCCTGCTGCATGTCTTATTGCCCGGTGCTCAACTGCACTGCATAGACCAAGGATGTAGAAAACTGTCAGCGTTCTAGGTCTTTTAAAAAATAAAAATTCTTTATTTAGGATTTCCAACAGTCAAAGTTTTAGTTCACGCAGGAATTTTCATCACTTACATTAACAAAATTGTTATATATAGGAAGAAACAAATTTACCAAATCACCAACACCTGTGTGTGCACATTCCTAATCCCCTCATTATGTCTGCATGTTCCCTGGGGCCTTCCCCCTATGACTGAATGCCACGTGTGCTGGCAAAAACATTGCTATAGCAACGAAAATATACAGAGTCTGGCGTTAAGCCTCTCGTTCCATGAGAACCATAATGTACTTGGTTTTTAACATGATCACCCCATCTGGAATCTGTATAGAGAATAGTGACACGAGGATCTGTACAGGGATGCAAAAACAGGAACTTTTCTGTTCTCTCTTCTTGCCATCAGGCCCACTACTGGTGATCTGGGTGTTGGTTTTTTTTTTTGTGTGTGTTTGTTTTGAGACTTTGGGGGGGGGAGGGGGGGGGGAAACACCCCTAGGTGAAGGGACCAGTCTGTGGCCATCTTGCTCTGCTGAGTTCATCCACAACAATATTGTCTGTACCCCTTATGTGCTTTGCTCCTGTACCACTTTTTTCAATCACTCCTTTCTTTAGAAGATCATGGCTTCTGTCAGGAGAGCTTCTGCTTTGGAGAATGATGACGCCAAACAACGTGTAATTTGTAACCATTGGCATTCAGCTTTAATACCCATGGATTTGGTATGATAAAACCTCTACAGTTTTTCTCCTATTCCTTTTTAGTGTCAGTATCTCCTCTTCATTTCTTGCCTATTGGTTTATTTAATTCTTCTGGTGCTTTTGAAATTTGTCCTGGTATCCAAAAGATCTGCAACTGTGAAATTGATAATTTTATATCCTGATTTCCAAGCGTATCTTCTATCTTGAGCAAGTGTCTTTTTAGTCTGACATATACGTAGTAATTTCTTCTAAAGGCATCCAAAACAGCTTGTTCCTTTCAAACCGTAACTCAAAGTGGATTTAGAAGCCACGTCTGCCATCCACATTCTTAGCCGTAAAGCCATTTTAGCCACTAAAGAAAGTCCCATAATCCGAGCTGGTAGTTTTAGTATTTCTGACATGTCGATAATATATTAAATGATTAATTTCAAATTATAGTGGGTGAAAAATCTTTAGCAAGATCTTCCACCAAACATTTTGTGCCCTTGCCATCGATGCCTCTGTTATCACAGACTGCTTGAAAGACTCTCCTGCACGATGTTTTCTATTGGGTCTTTTAAACCAGAAACCTCAGCAATAGGAATATATATATTTATATATTTCTTGGGGGGGGGAGGGAGAGTTTGAACATTGTCACCTGAATAGCAACTTTTGGTAACTCTTCCCACTTATCTTCACCTTGACGTTTAAATCGCTCTTTATAATGTCTGGAGATGAAGACTCTATTTTCAGGATTCTTCCACTCCCTGTGCACCAAATATAAACATTTCTGTTTTTACCAGTAGACTTTTCCCTTTACACTTTGAGTATACGTCTTCCCGTAAGATAAAGTTACTTCTTCTATAATTCTCTATAAATCCTTGGTTTGTCTGGTGGGAAACCAATCTCCTCCCTCGATCATAAGTTGAAGATGTCTGACCTGGAGGGGGCCAGAACACTCACCTAAAGATAATTCAGATCTGGATAAAGATCTCCTTCTGTAATGCTTTTTTACTTGTAAAGAACAACTGAACAAAAGGAGGCTTTAGGAACACTCGTGAAGGGGTTAACCCATATGCAAAAGCAATAAACAAACAGAGAAATGAGTGACCTAACTACTAAAATATAACTTTTAATTATAATATAAAAAATTGAAAATTTATTGGGATAACTATCCAGTATTGTTAAGAAGAAATGTATATTGATAAGGATGGTTTGAGTCAATATATTAATCTGATTGATAGCTTGTCAATCAGAAAATAAGTAGTCCTATTACAGGGTGTATCACATTCTTTTCTAACGAGAACTGCCCCAAATCGTGTTTGTCGGCAGAGGTCAAAAGAAAGGATATATATATATATATATATATATATATATACAGGGCAGAGAATATATAGTGACTCTAAAACCTAATACAAATGTACAGTCTAAATAATAAGTACTTAATTGAGAGGTTCTGTTCAAAAGTTTTCAGAAACCTATTCCCATAAAAGTGTGCAAAACAAAGTTTTGCAATCCACAGGGGCCAGATTGAATGGCTCTAGCTGTAAAATAGGATACATAGATAATAGCAGTATATGGACTGTAACCCGTTGGTAATTGAATACAAAATAACAATATTTAAACAACTAGAGATAGGAGTAGATACTGGCTTCCCTCCTAGAACTGTAACTCTGGTAAGTAGTCAGGAATAAAGTGTACAGAGTGATGTATATAAACCAGAGCGCTTGAATTAGGATCATCAATAACGGAACGTTAATATAAAGGTAAGCACAATAAAACTGCCTCTGTAGAAAAATGAAAAGCCGTAATTGCAGTGGGAGCAATAGAAGGGTTATAAGTATCATGCATTAAGCAAAAATGGGAGAGAATGCTCCAAATATAAATATAGCCCAAGTTGCTATAAGATGCAATAACGGTAAAGAAATACTCAGGAACCGAGAGTTAAATTGCTGGTGAATATTCATTCTATTAGGAATCAGCAGGCCAATATTGATAGGACCCAGGCGTCTGTCACACTTCTGACCCAGACAGGATAAAAGAGTTGCAGTCTTCCTCCTGTAATTCCTGGCTGGGCCGGCACACATTCAGAAGTTTTTCCCTGGCTTAGTTCCTCTTCCTCTGGAAGATTTTTGCTGAGTGTTTTTCCAATTGCATTTGAAATACTTTCCCAGGTTTATATGCCCTGCTTTCACGAAAGGCACAGTCTTTATATCGTCTATCTTTCCATGCAGTAGAACCATATTTTCTGACTTGCGGAAGAAAGGCTTTTCTCCCATCTGCTGCTTTATGCATAGCTTCATCCAAGACCTTTCCAAATAGATCACCTTGAAACGGAAGAGCACACAAGGACGCTTTAGAGGCATAGTCTGCTCCCCAGGAGTGCAGCCATAATGCTCTTCTTGCTGCTCTAGACAGGCCCATGCTTTTTGCCACCATTCTGGCAACATCCAGGGATGCTTCAGAGCAAAACTCTGTTGCCAACGTCAGATCTCTCCGAAATCCTTTGGTGATATCCTCCTCTAAGTTGTCTAGCCATACTTTGAAGGCTCTTGACAGCGTTGTTAATGCTACTGCTG